AGAACCAAACAAATTACTAAGAAAGAAGAATATCAACAAAGACATGAACCTATAATTTAGAAACTTTATCCAACTTCAACTCCCAACCATTACTGAATACCATCCGGACCGCCTTGTGATAGTTGTCAAATTAAAAACAAGTAACGCATATCTTGAGGATATATCAGGAATGCTCTAGCTTTTATTGGATCTCTGTTCAAGTATTCAAAAGTAGTCATTCGGCTATTGATATCAAGCTCTTCAATATCCATTACGGCCTTGTAAAGTTCCAAATAATCTATGCAAGGCTTACTCTTCTCATATGCATCAGCCAATCTCACCATGTTAGTTGCAACGGCAACCATTGTTTCAGCAACAAGCTCTGCACCTTTTGACTTCTTTGACTGCTCTGTCACTGTCTTTGAAGATCTGTGGTTGTGCTTGCCTAGTGTAGGTTTTTGGCTACTAGTATTGCCTTGTTGAGTTGCAAATTCATTTCCTTCTATGTCACCCACGTCGTTTGCCACCATGTTGTCAATGGGATTGAAGAGATGTGAATACTCATCCTCACTATCATTTGTTTTCTTTGAATAGTTAGCATTTAGATCCTTGCCAGAACATGCCCATTCACCAGTAACTTGATCATTGCCACACAAAATAGATAATTCATCAAGCATCTCAATCTTCTTACCTCGTAATCCTTTTGCATCTGGATTTGCCTACATAAGTCATATACCACCATAATTTTTATGTATATAACCAATAGTCAATTCCTCAGCACATATATAATTTTTTTATTAAAAAAAAAAAAATGCTTACGGCAACATATGCAGTCCATACTTGATCACTGCATTCAACCATTTTTGTCATTGGATTCCAAGAGAATCCACTTTTACTCAACATTTCCTCTACCAATCTATATTTTTTCTTGATAGTTTTTAAGCGATTAACACAATGCTCACAACTGAAAGAAAGGTTAAAGCTTGAATTTAAAATGAACAAGCTACAACATAAGCTTGATCTTTAAAGCCCTTATCCACTTTGTACCCTTCATTAGCTTGATGCACTAGTTCTAAAATATGACACTTATCCATCCCTTTAAACCAAACTATGTTCTTTCCTCTTTTCTTCCCATCTCCTATGGGCTGTTGACACTTATATACCTCCATTTCCTATAATAACAACTCACAAGTATGCTTAACCAATAACATAAGATCAAATCATTAAAAAATTAAGAATACTACAATTGAAAAAGACTAGCATTTATATTATTAATATTTAGAGTTCAACAACAAAATACTACCATTGTTCAATAATAATAGAAAACAACGAAATACTACCATTTAGATTTATCTACAAATAAGAAAACATATAGTTTTCGAGAATTCTATTGATGTCTTCAACCAAAACATCAGTTCATTTCATTCATTATTTGCGTTCGAATTCTCTTTCCTTCTCTTCCATCTTCAGCCCTAGTTAATTGTACGTCAACGATATCATGAATAGGAGCAATTTCATTGTTAATCTCTCTATCAACAATATTTAGAAGTGGATCATATGGCATCAATCCTCGAATATGATTGTGCATGATACAAGTAGCAATTACTAACTTCCTTTGAGTTGTATAGCTAAACATTGGCTCTTCCACCAAAATTCTAAATCGTTTTTTTAATACCCCAAAAGCTCGCTCAATTGCATTTCGTAGTGATGAATGCCTATGGTTAAACAATTCTTTTGATGTGGTGAGCACTCGACCTCTAATTGCATTTAGATGGTATCTTGTACTTCGAAATGGGGTAATGTAATGCTTTAGTAAAGGAAATCATCCCACGTCAACAAGATAGTATTTTCCTACAAAAAAATAACATTTGGCTTAATAATACATAATAAGTTCAAAAATATTTATCATTATTTATATGTTAAATATTTACCTAGAGGACACGTGATTCCATGTTCCCTATTAATTTTTGTGTGAGTGACTGTTCGTCTTTGTGCCATAAAAAAACACAGTGACCACTAGAATATACTTATAATTCTTCCTAATATTAATACTAATTAGTTTGGAAAACATTTAAAGAACTAAAGTCCAACACCCAAGAGTTTATAGCAGTACTTAATAAGGATTGAAAAACATGACTGAATTTTAAAAATGTAGCTCAAGCTCATAATTAGAATACTAGAAACTAAAACATCACACCTACCTAAGGACAAATACCAAACAGAGACAACGACCAGAACCAAGCAAATTACTAAGAAAGAAGAATACCAACAAAGACATGAACCAATAATTTAGAAAATTTATCCAACTTCAACTCCTAGCTATTACTAAATACCATCCGGACCTCCTTGTGATAGTTGTCAGATTAAAAACAAGTAGCACATATCTTGAGGATATATCAGAAATGTTTTGGCTTTTATAGGATCTCCGTTCAAGGATTCAAAAGTAGTCATTCGGCCATTGATATCAAGCTCTTCAACATGCATTACAGCCTTGTAAAGTTCCAAATAATCTATGCAAGGCACTTACTCTTCTCATATGCATCAGCCAATCTCATGATATTAGTTGCAACATCAACCATTGTTTCAGCAACAACTCCGCACCTTTTGGCTTCTTTGACTGCTCTGTCACTGGCTTTGAAGATCAATGGTTGCGCTTGCCAAGTGTAGGTTTTTGGCTACTAGTATTGCCTTGTTGAGTTGCAAATTCATTTCCTTCTATGTCACTCACGTCGTTTGCCACCATGTTGTCAATGGGATATAAGAGATGTGAATACTCATCCTCACTATCATTTGTTTTCTTTGAATAGTTAGCATTTACATCCTTGGCAGAACATGCCCATTCACCGGTAGCTTGATCATTGCCAGACACAATAGATAATTCATCAAGCATCTCAATCTTCTTATCTTGCAATCCTTTTGCATATGGATTTGCTTGCATAACACCATTATTTTTATGTATATAACCAACAGTCAATTCCTAAGCACACACACACATATATATATATTTTATAAAAAAAAAAAAAAATACTTACAGCAACATATGTAGCCTATACTTGATCACTGCATTCAACCATTTTTGTCATTGGATTCCAAGAGAATCCACTTTTACTCAACATTTCCTGTATCAATCTATATTTTTTCTTGATAGTTTTTAAGTGATTAACACAATGCTCGCGACTGAGAGAAAGGTTAAAGCCTGAATTTAAGGATGAACAAGCTGCAATATAAGCTTGATCTTTAAAGCCCTTATCCACTTTGTAGCCTTCATTGGCTTGATGCACTAGTTCTAAAATATGACACTTATCCATCCCTTTAAACCAAACTATGTTCTTTCCTCTTTTCTTCCCATCTCCTATGGGCTGTTAAGACTCATGTGCCTCCATTTCCTATAATAACAACTCACAAGTATGCTTAACCAATAACATAAGATCAAATCATTAAAAAACTAAGAATACTACCATTTAAAAAGACAAGCATTTATGTTATCAATATTTAGAGTTTAACAAGGAAATACTACCATTGTTGAATAATAATAGAAAACAATGAAATACTATCAATTACATTTATCTACAAATAACAAAACATTAGTTTTCGAGAATTCTATTGATATCTTTGACCAAAATCAGCCCACATTTCATTCATTATTTGTGTTCGAATTCTCTTTCCTTCTCTTCCATCTTCAGCCCTAGTTAATTGTGTGTCAATGATATCATGAATAGGAGCAGTTTCATTGTTAATCTCTCTATCAACAATATTTAGAAGTGGATCATATGGCATCACTCCTTGAATATGATTGTGCATGATGCAAGCAGCAATTACTAACTTCCTTTGAGTTGTATAGCTAAACATTGGCTCTTCCACCAAAATTCTAATTTGTTTTTTTAATACCCTAAAAGCTCGCTCAATTGCATTTCGTAGTGATGAATGCCTATGGTTAAACAATTCTTTTGATGTGGTGAGCACTCGACCTCTAATTGCATTTAGATGGTATCTTGTACTTCGAAATGGGGTAATGTAATGCTTTAGTAAAGGAAATCATCCCACGTCAACAAGATAGTATTTTCCTACAAAAAAATAACATTTGGCTTAATAATACATAATAAGTTCAAAAATATTTATCATTATTTATATGTTAAATATTTACCTAGAGGACACGTGATTCCATGTTCCCTATTAATAGCACAACCTAAGATTCTAGAATTAGATGTTGACCCTTCCCATCTAGCTAAGACGTAGGTAAACCTCAAATCAAATATGCAAGTTGCTAAAACATTTTGTGACGGCCATTGTTTTCTCCCACGAAATCGAGCTACATGTTCAGTAGAAACTTTCACACGAAGGTGTGTACCATTGATTGCTCCCACACAATCCTACTTGGAGCAACATCAAATGATAGTATAGAGAAAACATGTACAGGTATTAAACTATGTTATATATAATAAGATTTTACCTTAAAATATGGCCACAATCTAGGATTGTCATGTATCTCTTTAGGTGTCTCCATTTGAACTGAAGGTTGCTTTAAATAATTATCTTCCATACTTATTATTGCATCCATGACCATATGAAAATATCGGGACACGGTTTCACCAGATCGCTTGTAGTAGCGTTTTGCAGGACGACTCTTGACATTGTGTGATACTATGTGTAAGAATATTGCAACTTGCTCCTCAACACTACAATGCACAACATCTTTTAGCCTTCTAGTACCCCTCAGGATGTACACAAATTTTTGAAAACACTCTATGTTCATTCGTAGTAAGTCGTGACAATCTTCATCACTTTGTGTTACCTCACCCACAAATTCACGTTGCGTCAAATAACAATTTCGTGGTGGTCTCTTATCGTACTCTAAGTAGTATGCACCATAGGCATATACTAAGACGCAACAAATTATGCATCTAAAAATGTAAGTTCTTCATCATATTTGACATTGGTATCCATCTACAAATATGAAATCGATGTGATAATCACATAAGGACATCTCACTAACAAAATGCATCCAAAAATAAATAAATAAATAACTAGTTAGAATAGGAATTGGCAAAAACAAATGGAAAAGAGAAAACAACCCAAAAAAATAAAAAATAAAAATAAAATTATCCGGATGCATGATTAACTAAACATACTTGGGGAGAACAACACAATTGAACTACCACCAGATTAATCATATGTTTATGGTATAAAATGAGAAGATACATGTGCCCCTTTCATTAGTACACACAGGGGCAAATATTCAGCACATAAATCATATAACCTAGATTGATCTTATAAGAACATATGATGTCATACTGGTTTAAGAATTTTTTCAAACATTTGGTACCTATATATATTGCCAAAGCAGAAAGCTAAAAATAATTTTATAGAACAAATAAATAGAACAAATCCAAGCTCAAACCAACAGAAGAATTCCATCATTACTAAACCCATGAAAAATTATTCATTGAAATCCATCATCAATTTATAGCAACGAACCCTACACAGAGATAGTAGAAAAAGCCTAACATAAATATCCTAAACTTCACCCACTTATCAATTCAAATAAAGAATGAATACAAATCCAAAAATTATGATAGCTATTTCACCACCTAAAAAAATTAAATAAATAAATAATAACATAAACATATTTCCAAAAATATTCAAGATAAGATATTGATCTTGTTAAGAAGACTAAGAATACAACAATATAGAGTAAAGAAAGAAAATAACTCACAGTGAATCACAAAGCTAAAATTGTTGATCTATTGTAAAGAAAAATCAACAATGCTCTGAGTTCTTGCAACTGGAGACGATGAAATATTGGGAGAGAGAAATAGGAGAGATACAATATCTTCAATATACTTAGTTGATTTTGTAGAGGGAAACATGAAAATATATATCAGATCAATCTGCATAAGAGGTAGTTATGGAGGAGAAATGGCAAAGAGGGAAACCAAAATAAATGTGCTAAGTTTTGTGGGAAAATTTAAATTTTCCTGTGAAATTTGTGTGAAATCAATAGAATATCTAATATGCTAGTTTGAGTTATACAGGAAACTTGAGTTTCTATTACATTTTAGGACTCTCTTTCTAAACAAAAACTTAATTTTTTTAATTTTTAATTTTTACTTTTTCTTTCACTTTCTTGTATTCTCTCTCTAACCAAACTGAGCCTAAGAAGATGAAAAAGAATTACATACGAGAATCCTCAATTACCTAGTGAATCTACGCTCGAATTGAACCAAATCCGACATGCCTCTTCCACTACTATTTTCACCTCGAACTTGACTTGCCCAACATTGAATCCACAATGCTCATGTTGAATCCATGACACTGAGCCACTCTCCATCAAAGCTTCAAACCCAAATTTCTCGGAATTCACCGATGAACACTTCTCTCTTTTTGTGAATGAAAGAATAAAACAACTCTTAATGTTTGTCAATATGTAGTTCGTTGATCAATTGATCACCTTCTATACATCAAAGAAACTCATATATAAACACTCTAAAGTATAGAATACTTTGGTTTTTACTCCTCTTTGAGAATCTGGACAGGTTCAACCCTAAAAATAACAAACAACGCACTTTATACTAAATAGAGTCACGAAGACTGCTCGAGTAGTGTGACTAAAGACGGTACTTACATATAGGCCAATCGCTCGAGTGCAACATCTACCGCTTGAGCAGTAAAACATGTTTCCTAGAAGTTCATAACGTAGGTAGAGATACTAGATGAATCACTTTACCGCTCAGCACACGAAAAACCACTTGAGCGGTTAATCAACTTTGACTTCTTTCAGCTTGATCCCTGTACTTAGTTAGCGAAGTGGCAAACAAGGAATGCTTAAAACAAGAAATGAAATGTCAGTGCAAACTCCTTTACTTAGGCATAACTCGGGTTGGATTCGCATCGAAACTCTCATAACTCACAGATACAATAGAGCGAACAAAAATACAATTGAATAGAATTTTGTCCAACGGGATTGTCAATTACAAAAACCTTACAATCTCTCTTTGGCAATTCTGTGACAAAACGCAACTAACAAAGAAAATCCTAATTAGCCCAACCCATTACAACCAACAAAGACAACTTTCTCAAGGTCATGATTTGCAAAACAATTATTAGTGCCACAAGAGTATATGATAGCATGAAACTTACGACAATATGAAAATTTGAAAAAAAACACCATGCTATCAAATGACAACGTCACTTCAAAAATCTCCCCCTGAAACATACTCTCCCCTTTTGTCATGAATTATCAAAGGAAGCTCAATGAGCAAAAGTAAGGACAAAAGCCACACAAGCAAGGATATGATGATATAATAACCAATAGCATGCGATAAATAAACAACACATAGCAACATGTAAACCAACAAGTATCTAACTCCCTCTCAAAACAATCAATGTAAGTCCATACTCAACAAGCTCCCACTCAACAAATAACTTCCTCATCGAAGGACAACAAGCTCCAAAAAACAAAAAACAAAAAAACAAAAAAAAAAAAACGAAAAACAAAAATTCAATATGGTAGAGCAAGTAAGGAATTTCATATTTGTACCTCAAAACACATAAGAATATCCAAAAAATATAATTACGTAAAAACACATTGTGCATAATCTCTAAAAGATTCATTATGAAAGAATGTGATGCAACATGTGAAAAACATAGATCTCATGAGAAAAAAGTGTGTGTGTGTGTGTGTGTGTGTCTTGGAGTTCAGTAAACACTAGATTCAAATCCTAGTAGTGATTTGATGGCTGGACCTTTGGCAAGAGAATTTGTGAATAACTGAGAAAAGTCAAACCTTTAGTAATCAAGAGGTATTTGTTAAGTAAACACAAATACTTCCCTTCAAACAATGTATACATTTTTCTTGCACACTCATCGGTGGCTTTCACGCTCAAGAGTATGAAAACTAAACCAGAGAAGGATAGAAAAGATAGTGAAGCTTGGTTGGTG